GCGCACACCAAACCATCGAATACTTACTCCCCTAACCCTACACTTTCGATTGCTCACTATAGACCTCTTGTTCAATGACTGTGTGTTGAATGAGAGCATGCTTACTGTTGTTTATCGATGTTAATGAATGAAACGAAGATAGCTGATCATTTATTCCCACCTTTTCTCTGTGACTCGGGTAATGACAAAGTTGACAAACACATTGATCATATACTTGATCTTTTTGTACCATGCGTTTTGACTGATATCACTTTCAAACGAAACTACGACTGGCTGGTGGCCTAACCACCAGCGGTTAGAGCGACGTCACCCAAGCGATAGAGGCAGGGGCCAGCGGTTCGACCCCGGGCATTGGCAAGGCTTTTTCATAAACTCCAAGAAATTTTTGCATGAATATCGCAACGCAGTTTCATGTCATTATCACTAAGTTTTTTTTGCCATCGCCTAACGCGGACGATGAGTGCTTTTCACGGGGAGGTGGGCGCACGCCGCCAACCACATCTTGTACGTGGAGCCTAGAGCCGTCTCGTTCAGCTCTCAATGCAGCATTGGCGTGACACAGTCAAGCGACTACAATACGGAGTGCTGCAGCCAATGCCTGCCATCGATCGAGGGCGACGATGCTGAACACGAAACGTACCAAGTCTGCGTCGTGGAATGGTACCGCCAGACTCGTTGTTCTCCAACGGTGAGGTCATGCACACGTCGCTCGTGCCTCGCTGGCATCGATACCCGGGACCAAATCTATAGTCCAAGTCAATCCATGCGACGTGCAGTTGGCTCATCCAGCGATGGATGCAGACGTGTGACTGTGCTCACCTGCCAAACAAGAGAGTGTACTCCCCCAGAACGACCGTGGTATGTCCGCGTCGTGGGGACGGCGACCCCAACGCCCCATCGGCATGTCCAAATCCACTTCCGGCATGGCTTTGCATCAACAACGTTGGTCGAATGTGCTGTCACGAGTTGGTCGGCCGGGGCAATGTCTGCGCCACGACGTGGGTGAAGGGGCCATTCTCTGGAGGTTGCCATTGAATCGACAACGTCGTCACACCCGACGTGATCGTAACTTGTTGGGGAACTGGCACTTGGGCAGGATCGGGGAGTGGCTCAACCTACAGCGTACACCCCATGTCGATACAGCAATCCAGGACCCTTTCCCACGAACCTCCGACGCCGAGATGTACCCACTTCCACCGCCATCTCCTGTGCAACCCGCTCCTCGTTCTGGGTATCAGCCACATCGTCCTGCGCAAGTGGTGCTTGAAAATAATCAAGTGAAAAAGGTATCTTCAATTACAACTACACACTAGTTGACCAACGACGGTCAAATTGAGGTGAGGCTGCTTCAAGATGTCTCGCGCGTCGAGCACGATATTGTGCTTGAGGGCGACTCCTTTTTCTAATCTTCTCGGCTGACATGCTTCTGTACCGAGCCAGTACACCATGATAGTAGATTCCATCTTCCTCACGAAGAGGCATCCATAACACGTGAGCATTCGTCAGAGCACAGCAGATGCGAGAGACCTGGTCAAACTTGGACTCATTCCACTTGTAGGTGACCGACATTGCCTTCCACAGACTGCACATGCGGGCAAAGTAGTTTTCGACAAGGACTCGATCCGAAGAGACCTTGTGGTTGCGCTCCAGGTCACGAGGCGTGAGGAAACCTCCTTGCGGACGACGCTTGGGCTGTATGGAGTGGTACTCGTGCTGAGCGCCCTGGTATCCCATGTCGACTAAGACACTCCACGAGTCATGCCAACGGTCAACCCCCTCGCGGTCTGCAATATCCATCTCGGTATTGGATTTCCTGAGCATCTTGCGATGAATTTCCCCACGATTGTAGAACATG